CGGCGGCAGGCGGCGGATGTCACGGAAGCCGAGGGACTTATGCAATAGTGTTTCTATTTTAGTCCTCCCCCCACCCACCAGCCGAGCAAGTAGCATCCCTCAGCAAGAAAAAACTCTAGTCCACCCCAGCATTCTTGAAAAGAGCGACATTACTTACCTTTAAAAAAAATCAGGAAAACAGTATTACTTTGTGAGAAATAACCTGCTTTTAAACTAAGGCTGATGTAATCGATATGATGCAATGAAAGTGAGTAGATTACGTTATATTTATTTACACAGCCAAGTCTTTGTACGGTAATAGCTCTGTAAATATAGACCATGTCTTACTAATGATCCTGATTTCAGGACATCAGTGAGTGATCTGAAAGACCTGGTAATTCTAGCGAGGAAATACTGGCTTAATGTGTTTTGCATGTTTTGAACTGGAGGCTAGGTGGAGCCTCCATCCTTTATTAAGTAACTGGCAGCTTATAGTATGCAAATATTATATCTGCCTCTGTAGTTTTCACCACCTCTATTGAGCAGCCTCAAGTAGGGGCTTAATCTTTTTTCTTTATCATAGCTCTCCCACAAATAATTATGGAACTCGTTCTCTACCCTTCATATTATTTCCTGTAAATATTAATTACTGCATTTAACCCTGCAGATACCGGAGCACATTAGTCATATCTGTTTTATGTCACATTAGATCATCTGCAGGAAATGTGGCTAGTTATTTCCCTGTTTAATATAGAGCCAAGCGTTTTATTAATTTATTTAATGATCTCAAATGTTGATATACACAGCGCCTTCTGAACACACATAGGTTTATCTATTCATATACATTTCACGAACCAGAATCAAACACTGAAAGTGTTTAAATTATGATCCTTTGCTTTTTTTGTGGGTATTTTTCAGATTTAGACAACGCAGAAACGCCACAGGAAGCGACAATCACGACAAGAAACGGTAATTTTTATTTTTCGTTCCATACAAGTCAGACAATAGAAAATACATTGCATAAAAATATGAATACATGTTCCTTAATAGCACACAGTGTATCTACGTATAATTACTGAGCGTTCAGGGTTCTTTTTTGTTCTAGATTTTGAATTCTCGATAGTCTGCCTTTTCATATTTTGTAGTTTGGATATGTATTAGATGCCCCTTTTCATACCATGTGCTCAACATAACAGAAATGTAATCTGCACTTGCCTGTAAAATGAAATTGTGGTCACAAAAGAAATGATAAGACACTCTCATTAGGAGGCAAGCCGGTCAAGGGACCTACCTGGCTGAAAGGAAAGGGATATTATGCAGGAAATGCTGGCCCGGATTGTACTGGCATACCGTGGTTTACATTTGTGTGAATTATATTCTAATTTAATATGAAAAGAGGATTCGTCTAATGTTTTACACTCCTTCTGTACTTCAGAGCAGTTTAAATAGGGTTTCTCTGTGTATTCCATACAGAAGGTGGGGATATTGGCATTAGAACAAGACTCTGACTGTAATAATTAGAGAATCATAAGCATTCCTCTTTAAAGTAAATAGAGACTGTTTATTCTTAAGAAATCCACGCAGGATGTTTCTCCTTTACGTCACAGCCATCTGGAGACCTATAAAAAGATTAGAAAACAAGCATGGCAATCACATACTAATCTACAGGCCATTAATGGGAATTTATAAGGGAGGTAGGAAGAAAAAGTGTATATTTGGATTTAGTTTCTTCCAATATATAAATCATTTCTAAAGTGATTTTGGAATAGATAAGTTTTATACAATTATGTAAACAGGGTGGGGGGAGGGGAAGCATGTAGTATTAACAATTACTTCTGATGTTTTGGATTACATTTTTGATAATAATTTCAGAATTACATATTGCTTTAAGTTTTCACATGCTAGACAACCCTGCAATTTTGGAAATGTATATTAACAACTGCTGTATACATTTTTTGTGATATTCAGAATAAGCAAATGTTTTTGTGCAGACTTACTGGACACCCATAGATTTTGAGGCCCTGCTAGATGACTGAGAGTTAGAAAATTTAATTGGTAATATGGCTAATGAGCAACTGGGTTGTAATTGTCATATTGGCTATTTTGGCTTACTGAGGCTCCAAAGATTAATCAACAAAAAGTGACAGGTGTATTGTAGTTACTTCTTAAGGCAGTGTGTGTGAGTGAGATGGCCTTGAGATAGAACTTGATGTTTTAAAGGTATATTTTGCATCTTTGAAACATACTAATTTGCAAAGAAATGCCTTGCATTTAACTGTAAATCCTGTAACATGGCAACATGTTTTACATGCATGCATTAATGTGTACATATGTGTCTGTGTTAATATGTATTATATATACATATATCTATGTAAGCATAGATGTACACACACACATATACACAAGGAGTACGTGAATTTTCATGCCTCTGACTGAAAGAATTTAATGCATAAGCTCACAAGCCTGTTACATGTAACACATGCCTGATCACTAATACTGCTGCCTCTAGCTATTGCAAGAAAAACATCTTTCTGTCTATCTGCCAATTCAGAAAAGCTCATTAGAATTTTACATAATATCAAAATGATCATATACCTTTAGATATATCAGATGTCCAGTTCAGTCCTCCCTGTTGTGCCTGAACAGCCTGAGAGGTGGTGAAGAAGCACAGTAACTAATAATACAACGTTGTAAGAAATCTAACCATTTTATGCCAGCCTGTGTATAATCTGCAAAGAGCGCTGGCACAATTAGCATGTACATCTTATACACTCCAAGCACGGGTGGCAAATTGCAGTGTTTCCCTATATCAGAGTATCTGATATGTATTTAAAAAAAATCATGCTCAATTTCAAAAGCTTAGAGTCTGAAAGCACAAATGAATGGTCTCATTAGTAATATCGCTACTGAATTCAGGATTTGGCACGTTAGTAATGTGTATGTGTTACTTCTTGGTGGCAGTATTAATTCTGGGCCCTGTCTGACAAATGATATTGCTTTCCCATTTTCATGCTTTTGTAATATTAATCTGTGAGAAGAAATGGACTGGTTTATATAGTTACAATTTTACAGTATAACCACATACACATGCATATATATGTGCAGAAAAACACACACACAGAGTCATGTACATAGACCTACACGTGTATACATGATTCCCCTATGTACATACAAGCACACATATGCTTTATCATGTAAGCAGGCTATCTAGTCAGCATAGAGTATCAACAACTTCAATATAACTCAATGTATTTAAATATTTCCCCTTAAAAATAGCAATATATGCAAACACAGGTTAATTTACAAACAGATCTAATTAAATGCAGGATAAGATATTCCCTATAACTGTATGAGAACATAAAGCACAATCTATTTTGTTTTATTTTATACCTTAAAAGAACAGTAGCAGCATGAATTTCAAGTCATAATTCCTTTAGAAGTGCAGAGCAGTCCATATTCTGTGTCTGTGCTGAATTTTTCAATATGCATCTGATACCAGCTGCAGCATGTACGAGCTGTTGAAGTGCATTTATTAATTTCAACAGTAAATATTGTAGATCTCAGTCAGAAGATTCATTGTATCACGTATACTCGAGAGACTTTTAATGTTTGCACTTTAGACTTAGAAAAATTCTATACAAATTATACTGTTAAATAATTCAAAGTATAATGTTCTTTTTTTTTGAGGGGGGAGGGGAACTGAGAGACTTAAATCCTAAAACTGTACATAACGCATTCTAACAGTTTAGAAAGACTTGCCTTCCTCGGTTCCTTGAGTAATGTAAGCATACATTTCTTCTCTATAGTACGAGCTTAATAAAAATAAACAATAAATCAGCATTTTATTAAGGCATTTCGCCAAATGATATATAGCCTTAGATAAATATTGCTGCAATGTTCACCTGTGTTGCATTCTAACACACACTCACACACACACAAACATACACTGGGAGAGAGGGAGAGGGAGAA